CTGGCCAGCACCCTCTGGTCCCGTTCCAACAGCGACACTCCGGGGTTCCGACACCCAGCGCCAGCAGCCCTGCGCCGCGCCAGCTCCACTGCACGGTTTGTCCATCCCGACGCGCAGCGACACAACACTTCCAAAAGCCTTCCTCCCGTCCCCAGCTGTGAAACACTGGAAACGTTCCCGAGGGGAACGGCTGGCGGCTCCGCCTCCCGCGCTCGGCTGGGGCAGTAACCGCGACACCGGGAACGAGCTTCAAAGGCGAGATGAACTCTGAACCAGGGAAAGTCAGAGCGCAGAACATGGGAGAACACAACGCGGGTCCAGGCACGCGCCAGCAGCTGAGCACACTGTGCTGGACCCGACGGGCGGCACAGGGGAGGGACAGGCGCCCAGCACCGACCAACCCCAAACCAGGGAAAACCTGAGGCCAGACCTGACCAGAGAGGCAGAAGGGTGGAGCATGGCCAGGTCTGGGGTCCAACAATTTGGTTTTTTTGTTGCTTTTAAAAAGCTCAAGTCCCCCTTGCCCAAGACATCTCTGCACCCCACAGCAGCCTTGCGTCAGCCCCGCGCTTTCCTTTTCCTGTTGCTGGCAGTAAACCCTCAGAGTCAAGGTAGCAAGCTAGAAGCATGCAAAGAATAAAAATCAGTTTGTTAGAGTGACACCAAACTGACAACCAGAGCTCTCAAATAACAGGAGTGACCGAGCCAGTGCTGGGAAGAACTGACAGCAGACACACTGGCAGCAGCATTTAGAAGATCCACTCCCAGGCCGAGGAACTTGGCCAGTCTGTGACCACGACTGGGCTCGATGTCCTGTTACAAACCTCAGTGGAGTTCGCTGGTACTGCCTCATGATTAGGAGTGTTGTGCATCCCAGGGGATCCTCGGAGGTGGCCTCCAGCTCAGACAGAATCCCAGAAGGGTTTGGGTTAGAAGGGACCTTATAGCCCACCCAGTGCCACCCCCTGCCATGGGCAGGGACCCCTCCCACCAGCCCAGGTTGCCCAAAGCCTCATCCAGCCTGGCCTTGAACCCCTCCAGGGATGGGGCATCCACAGCTTCTCTGGGCAGCCGGGGCCACTGCCTCACCCCCTGCACAGGGAAACATTTCATCCCAAATCTAAATCTCGATCCCTGGACCTGCATTTGTTTCAAATTCTCCATGTGCGCCATTGTCTTCATCCCAGCAGCAGACAGGCAAAGCAATTACACTACAGAAAGCTTTTGAAGTAGCTGTGAAGAGGCAAAAGCGGAACAAAAACTTGTCTCAGGCCTTGGTGAGGCTTTTCCAGGCAGGAATGTTTACTCAGCTTGAGAAAAGGCATCAGGACCACAGCTTGGGCAGGAGAAAGGAACCTAACAAGGTACACACGAGGCACGACATGCAGAGTAAAGCACAGGCTAATCCCACCGGTGACTAACAGACCGTTCAAATCTGCATTGTTCTTGGACAGAGGGTTTTGTAACATGAAACTTAAAAGGAAGAGAATTTTTAAACAGCTCAGAGGCTCAGCTGTTAGGAAGAGGACAAACACAGAACTACAGAAAAGGGAAGGCAGAGAAGTTTATTCCAGCGATGCTGCTGCACCTCCCTCGAGCACAAAGTGTTCGTAAAAGACAACCACCCCCAAAAGTATATAAAAACACATCCACCGCACTGGAATCCTGGAAAACACCCTTGGATGGAGTAAACGCTCCCTCTACTGCAGGTGAGGAGGAGGAGGGGTTGTGGAGAAAGAGGGCAAAAGGAGGAAGATGGTTTCAGTAATGCTGCCTGCGGGCTGCTGCAGGGGCAGGGGAGAGGTTCCCGGGCAGGTTGTGCTCCCCTAAGGCCAATTCCCCCCCCATGGTCAGGCACCTCTTCAGCATGTTTCCATAACAGAGCCTCTGCCACCCCTTTACCTGGAGCAGGCAGCTAGCAGGACACCCTCCCACAGCACTGTGATATCCAGACGGATAACTCAGACACTGTGGGGGCTCTGTCCTCCTTGCACGAGAGCAGGAAGGGAGCTCTCGGCGTCAGTGCCACTCGTGTCAGGGCATAGGGGAATCTTGACTCCAAGCACCAAAGGGTTAACACAGCAAAAGGCCACTTACTCCTCCCAACAAGCCTCAAAAAGTTGCTCTCCCCTCTGCCCACCCACCCCCCTCCAAGAGAATTCACATCAGTCAGTGGTCTGAGCCTGCTCGCAGCAGGAGCAGGAGGGATTCCTCTCGGGGCAGCGCGAGGTCCTCTATGTGAGGATGTCGTGAGCTTGGTGCTCCACCAGCATCTCCATGCTCCTCACATCTGTGCACCAGAACTCCAGGCGGTCTTTCATCCCTTTGATCTGCAAGGCAAGCCCACAACAGGTTCAGTGGAAGTCCTGGAAATGCCAATATTCACCTTTAAGGACCAACTCTCGAGACCCCAAACCACTTCTCAAAACCCCACACCCCTGGGATGCCACTTAACCTCCTCCGCCATCCCACCAGCCGTGTTTACATTGAAATGCGCAAACAGGATTGTTTGCAGCTAGCATTCCATATACCATTTTGGTTTGTTAAAGGTAAAGGCACCCCAGACAGTCTCCTAAAACATTAGGAGCATGAGCTTGAGATGCTCAGCACCTTCGTCCTTATCACCCTGACCTTCTCTCTTGCCAAGACAGGTGAGCCACCTACAGCCCAGAAACTCCAGATCTCGTTTCCTGCATTCAGGCTTGAGGCAGCCACACCGACATCTGCGACCTTCTGGAGAACACAGCTGCAGCATTTGTGGTTTATGGTGGTTTGTGTGGCTTCTAGATGAAGTGCCACTAAGATCTGTTCTGTCTCCTGACAGGTTTCTAACTACTCGCTGCAAAACGCAGACGGGAAATGCACCGCGTGCCCCAGGTGGGAGCTAAAGGCGGCCAAGTAAAAAGGAACGAGGAAAAGCTGAAACACTTCCTCATTCCCGAGCATCCTCAAAAAGCACTAAAGAGACTAATTCTCAGGCAGCGGCCCGTCACAGCTCTTTTTTGATTTCCAGGTCACATCACGCAGGAAAACAAGTTAGCAGTGCCTTGGCACTCGGGCGGGTCATTACCTGCTGTAAATCCAACACGCGTGGTTGTACCCATGTCATGTGCACCCTCCTATCGACTTCATCGATGCTGCCCTTTACCAAGCCTACCGAGAGAGCTTTCATCACCAGCAGTTCCACCTAAAAATAAAAAAAACTAATTCAGGAAAACAATTGAGAACCACCCAGTTTCCCCCAAGATGAATACAACCTGTAAACAGCACCAGCTTGCAGAAGGCTCTTTACTACACACAGAGCAGCTGCAGCCTACCCCACATGCATCCTGGTTCAGATTCTAATCCTGCCTTGAGAAGCAACATCTAAATACACAGGAGAGATTGCTTTCCTCTAAAAGATTTCCTTTCTTGTCTCTGAAATCCCAGGAAGGACAAGGTAACAGGAAAAAGCCAAACACAGATTTACCACAGGTAAGAGGTGCTCAACCAGCATGATCGCCTTTTTAAATAAAATAACTTGCTCTGCGGTCAGAGAGAGCGCTGTGGGTCCCCTGTACCTTTCTTTGGCAAAGAGCTCAACAAACCTCCTACCACATCCTCACTGACGAGCTGGTAAGATACCAAACGGACAAAAGGACAACAAGTGGAAAATCTGCTGAACTACTGCTCAAACCACAGTGGTTAGCGGCCTGAAGCTGAACAAGGGGGGCACCGCAAAACTGGAGAGAGTCCAGCAAAGGGCCAACAAGATTAGGAGGCTGCGGACTCGACATTATGAAGAAATTTTATTTCCTCAGCCTAGGTAAGAGGTGGCTTGGGGATACTCATCACAGCCTTCCTGCACCTAGAAGGCAGTGACACGGAAGAGAAGAGGCACTATCCCCACAAAGATGAACAGTGAAAAGACAAGAGACCACAGGCAGGATTTGCTCCAGCGGGGATTCCATCTCGAAAACAGAAGAAAATTCTTCACCGTGAGAAAAATTAAACATCAGTGACACTTCCCCTCGCTGGAAATACTCAAGAGCACTAGGCAGGGCGCTGCGCAGCCTGGCCCAAAGGCCGCTTTCAGGAGCAGGTGGGAGCAATGAGCCACAGAGCTCGCTCCCAACTTCAGACTATGACTAAGAAACTTCAAACGTTCATGAAGAAACAGGAGCACCAAGAAGTTAATTCCTTCCAAAAAAGAAAGAAGTCCCCAAATGCACAGGAAGAGGGGAGAACGCTTCTACTCCGAGCTCACCTGCAGGAGCAGGTCTATCCCGGCACTGTTAGAGCTTCAGGACATCAGTCAGTCTGTCCGAACCCAAACTCACCTCATTGACAGTGACCTTGGCACTCTTAGCAATCTCTTCAAAAGTCAGCTGTCGGTGATTGGCCGGGCGGGTGAAAGTCATCTGCATTCAAGTAAACAAAACAAAAAAATAAACCCCACACAGTTTTAGTTTTTTCCAACAGCATGCACAGCTTCCCTCGCACTGCCCTGCTCTCAGTTTGCAGCAGCAACGGCATTTCTCCTATAGAATCCAAATACTTTGAAGAAAAACACCTTTACATCAGCAGAAAGGAGCTGTACCCCTCCCTCCTGCACACACACCTCGCTGCTCCAAGCAGCACATTTCCCAGGCAACAGAATCCACAAACACAGCAGCTCAGTCTGTGCTGACAGGTCTCGGTGCGTATCAAATCCCCGAGACAACACAGCACCTGCCGGGGGGAAACCCACCTGCAGCAGAGCACCAAAAGCAGATACACACACACACAGTAACACACACGTCGGTGTGCGGATGTGTGTACACACGTACTTTACGCTTCAGCTAACTCAACACTGAAGTTTCTGAAAGACCCCGGGGGCGCAGAGGTTTACACACCAGTATTATCTGGGAACAACAAAGCCAAAGCCTTCAAGTGACAGGAGAGAAACTGTCGGAACATTCAGGGTCACCTGTCTGGGAAAGGATCTGCCGTCCTTGGGAAACTAAGATCTTAACTGAGAATCTTTTAGAAATCTTTGTTATACTAGAACACCCTTTAAGAGTTGTCATTTCAGATATCTTCCCCAGGATACAAAGCTCGCTCTTTTCATCCCCACCTCGATATCCCGCCTGCAGCTCACCCTGGGGATGGCTAACAGCACAGCACAAGGCTTTTCCCAGCTGGACTTGCCTTCTGGCACCACCTAGAGGCAACACTTGCAGGCAACCGTCAACACCCCCGCGTCAGGAATGCGCCCAGCAGAGAACAGAATATTTAACAGGGCTGCCCCACCACGGCAGCTCGTCCCTCTCTGTTTCCATATTTGACCCACCACAGTTCTCAGCTCACCTCCATAAGACACAGCAGCTGGATCTTCTGCAGCAGAAGCGCTTCATTTGCAGCCAGGTCTGGCTGTAAGAGGATCAAATGGAACCAGTAAGTTCACTTTTACTTTTATTTCCCCCTCCCCCACCCCCGTGAGAGAAGAGCACGCTGCACACAGGAGTAAACCGCAGAGGGACCCATCACCCTCCCTGGGAGGGGCTGTTACAACCCACCCACTACCTGCTAACAGCTCCACAAAACCAATGACAATTAAACACAATTAACTGCAGCGCATCAGCAGGGATGCAACCTTCTATCAAAGGCCACAGCCTTGCGCCAGCAGACGTACAAGTCGCCCTGTAAATGACTGCTGGGTCAGTAATTTCTGGGACAGCCAGTGCAGCTAACACCCAACAGCGTTCTCCTCAAGCTTCCTCAGGGAAGGGGAGTTCCTCGAGGGAAATGCACTATTGCACTGGAAGCAGTTCAATAGTGGGAGTGAATGGCATAATGGAAATGAAATCAGAGATTATCTTCCTTCCTGTGCAGGACTGCGTGATGGTTTTGTTTGCTTTGCCCTTGGATCACGGGATTTCTCTTCTTTCCATCAATCAGAGAGGGAAGCCAAACGAAAACTGACATACGCATCAAGATGAAAGGAACACTGCTGTGTGTGCTCAAAATGATACCAACGCACCAGCATCAGGAATTCTGAAGGTAAAGCTCCACAGAATCCAAGTCTCTGTCAATATTGAGCCCAGGCCTTTAGCAACACAGCAACCCATCACTCACCTGCTGCCCCCACGCTGACTTCAGAGCCTGAAACGTCTCTACATTACCGCTGTTGAAGGCGTAAAGCGTGTCAATCAGCCACTGCCGGTCCGTATTTCTCAGGGACTCCAGAACGGGGTGCATGAGCTGCAGAAACCCGGCAGGGCAGCATTAGCTGGGTAACATCCATTCCTGGCACTCAGCAAGGGAAGCAGTGCAGCATCAACTTACCAGCTCCCCAAAATTATAAACACCTTCTCCCAGGAGCCCCGCCAGTCCCAAGGTAAAGGCTCTCTCCTGCTGCTCTGACACTGAAAAAAAATTAAAACAAACAAATAGAAAAAATGCAAACCAACAAAACCAGTTTGGAGGAAGCAGCACTCTACACCCCATCAGCCCCTCCCTCGCTCTGTGCTGCATTAAATCATCCCCAGCCCTCCTTCTCATCCTCTCCCAAGCCTGGAATTCAGCAGCCTGCAGAAACCCCAGCAGCAGCAGCACAAAAGGGCCATTTTTCGAATCTATACTGAAGATTTTTGGGAACCAGAACAAACTCTCCTTCCTGGTGGGGGCACTTCCCCCCTCCCATCACATGAACGCAGCTTAGGAGCTGACCCTGCTTCTTGGGGTCCTTCCTCTGTCCAGCTGGATCCCAGCCAAGCTACAGCAGACTCAACATAACGCTGAGAAAACCTGTTCTCTGACAGTGGGTTTATTTAAACTGAAGTGATGAAACAGAGAATGATAACTGTGACTTTCTCTGCTCGGCAAAGGAGGAGTTACCCGGCAGATCTTTAACATCAATGCACCCCAGGAACCGCAGAGCATCCTTGTAGTAAGAGGCATGGTTCCCAATCGTCTGGTAGTACTTGCTGGAGAGATCGTAGAAGCGGCTGTGAACCGAAGTCACCCCAGGGAGATTGTTCAGCATCTCCTCAACCTCCTCGATGGTCTCCTAGAGGGTGAAAACCCATCTGTTAGAGCTCGCCAGCAAGCAGCACACACACGGCTGAACTCATGAGACCCTCCAGGCTGCAGACTGGAACATATCAGGGTATTTCTTCCCTCTCCTCTGAGTTGTGCACACCAATCCTATTGAAACTTCAGAGACCGGGCCGTAAGCACTATGCAGATGTTCTACAAGATACAAAGCAAAACTGCCAGCCTTCCTGGAAACCCCAGGAGCTGCAAGTTTGTCATCTTCTCCTTCCAAACTGGACACAGACACAGGCACATCCACGCTGTAGCAACTGCTGAAGTGTGTCACCGCGCTCCAAACTATCCCAACGCTTCAACTGCGCAAGTCTTCACCTCACCTTGGTGACCTGCAGGTCTCCGATGTTCAGCTTGAGCGCCCCGATGGCTGTTTTACACAAAATGACAGCTTCATCGCTGCTTTTGACCTGCGGTTACACAAAGTACAGGTTTAGAGAGCGTCACCCTTGCAGCCAGGCAGGCTCTTGACACCTAGACTGTGCTGGTCACGTTTCATCTGTTAACATGCTCCCGCATTAAAGCACAGAGTGGTTCACTGAGAGAAGGAGCAGCTGCTCTCCAGCAGAGGTTTCAACACACACACATCTGCCTCTCCTGCTATGCCACGTATCCTCATACGCAAAACGATCCCTGTAGGTGGACTACCAGAAAGAGGAACTCCAAAAATACCTTTTCTCGAGTCTTCTCCAGGAAAGTCAGGGCCACATTGGGATCTGAAGTAAATAAAAAAAAAAAAAAAAGCAGCAATTTCAGGAATTCCCATGGAACTCAGTCCCAGCCTAGACACATATCAATTTACTGGATTCATGAAGACTGGAATGTATTTTCTCTGTAGTGTACTGCTCAACCTCCAGAAGGTGCTCCGACCTGTGGGCCCAGCTTTCTGCTCCCCAGCCATTTCTCCAGCGAAGCTGTACCTTGCTGCTCCCCGTAGCAGCAGTTATTGAAGCTGAGTTAGCGCCTTCCCTTTTCAATACCCCAGAAAGACAACAGCTGAACAGTATTAACTGGTCAAATTTCATAGGCAGCAGCTGCTAAAAATCCTATAAGTAACAGGTACATGTCCTTACCCGTCATCTGTCTGACCACATGGAGAATGATCTCTACCAGGGACAAGGGGTTCACCCTGAAACCAAAAACTCATGGTCAGAACAGACTCAGTCAACAACAGGTTACCTGAAAACGTGCAGACAAACCAACTCACCTGTGCTCAAACTCACTGATGAAGTTCTCGTAAAGCTGCAGGCACAAAGACACCGACAGTCAGGGCAAAAGGGCATTTCGCTTCTCACTGCATTCCGGTTCATTTCCCCAACAACGCAGTGGGTGTCCAGTACAGAAATGTCTACACTGGACAGAATCCAGGAGCCAAACACGACTCATTTCAGATAATTCTATCTCTGTAGTCTCCTTCCAACTGCAAGGAGCAATTCAGGAAAGTCCCAAGCCAGCAGGTACCACAACACAGCCCCTCCCTGCCTGGTGCACGGCCTCAATTGCCGCCGTACAAGAAGCACAGCCCTAAAGCGTCCACATTTCTCTTTGAGTGTGTTCAGCCCCAAGAAACCCATGGCTGTTCATCACAGAAATAACTGCCTCCTGGGAAGTTGAATTTTAACCTAAAAACACAAAGGAGAGCACAAGTACACGGATACTTGCAGCCTACAGGGAACATGCAACTCCAGACCGAGTATCCCGTTACCTTCCCAAATGGAAGAGGTTCCCGGACAGGGGCTGAAGTGACCCACTGAACACTTTGCCGCGTCCGTGAACACCTGACACTCCATCCTACGCTTGCAGCTGTAAACGCCTCGTTACAGAAGGGAAAGAAAAAGGCTCTTCCTGCGCCCCTCCCCCAGAACACAAATCCTGAGTGAAGGCAATTAAAGAATCATCCTGAGGCTTCTAAAGTTGACACGTCTTATTTCAGGAGAATTTTCACACACCAGCCAAATCCTGCACGCTCACATCTAGCGCAAAACCCCAGAGAGCTGCATTCACCCGGTTTAACAACTCCCGAGAGACAAGTCACGGGCGGCTTCTTTCCCACTCGTACAGAAATACCGTCCCTCATCTCCGCTACGGAAAGATAAAACACATGGCAACAGTCAAGCACTTCACCTTGATGAGTCCATCTCCCTGGGCAAAGCAGGGGTCCTGCACAAAGTCCAAAACTTGCAGCGTCAGCTGGTGCCAGAGCCTTGAGAAACAAGAAAGTCACTCGGTGAGTCCCCGCTTCATAGCAGCCCCTCAGCTCCAGCCACATCCTGTGCTCCACCCCCAGAACCTGCTGGACCCGCTCGTCCCTGCAGCCGCGGCGACTAATGAGACACAAAAACCGGCGGCAGGGACCCCCCAGAGCACGAACTTAAATTAACTCCTGGAAAATAACACGGGAACCAACTCCTTGAACTCCCGCAGCCACGAACCTGCCGGTGGGAGAGGGCAGCGGAGCCCCTTCTCTGGGGGACAGTCCCGGGGGAGGAGGGCGGAGGGGGCACAGCCCCACAGCAGGGCCCCGGGACCCCCGGCAGAGGAGCGC